TGATAACTAACTTTAAAAAGATAACTATTGGTGTTATTTACCCAACCCCATCCAGTAGCGTGTCATTCAGTGAGAACCTTCAGGATTGTTTGAACCTAAGTGCTATAATACAACCTGGTCCTGAAATACTGCTAAGGAGTGATTTTAACTTCCCCAACATTGTCTGTTCTGCCGTGTCCCCGTTTATAGACCCATCATCAACCGAGTCGAATAAATTTATCTCTCTTTGCACCAATTTCACTTAATTGCAGTAAGTAAATTCACTCACACGCGTCATACAAAGTTCATCATTCTTTTTAGGCCTGGTTATGACGTCATTTAGAGACACTGTTTTTTCGATAACCTATTTGTCAGGCCTTAGTGACCACGACGTCTTGCCTTTAGTTATTAGTATAATAAATTCATACACAAAAACGGTTCAAAGTTATCAAATATTACGGGTAAGCTAACTATGATGCCATAAATGAAGAACTTGAAATATTCATTGATGCTTTTTTACCTGGTGTATTTAGGCGCTCAGTGCAGAGAAATTTGAATATGTTTATACCTACTGTTGTTAAAGTAGCTCATAAATACGCACTTACTCGTAGTATATTCTGCAACAGTGAATCACCCTGGTAAAATAGATACCTAAAACGACTTTCTAACAAAAAGAAACGCTTACTTTGAAGGACAAATCTTTGTCAAAAAGCGTCTGATTGTTTATCGTACAAAACACCTGCTTCGCTTTACATTTCTGCTTTGACGTTTATCAAATTCTCATTCTTTAATACCACTCTTCCCAAGATACTTAAAAACTAACCCAAAATGCTTTTTTTAATGCGCTGAAAAGCGACAGTGACTCTAAATTAATGCTACAGTATCCATTGGGTGACTCCGGGTCGACATTCCTTACTGCTCTGGTATTGAATGATATCTTCGTTAAATCACTTTCATCTGCAAAAACCCATGAAATACCTAACTTTTTATGATAAAATTATCCAACCATGAATCCAATTGTTTTTGATTCCGTTGGAATAGTAAAGATACTCGATCAACTGAAACTAAGCTCCACTTCGGGGACAGATCACCTCAACACAAAATTCCTTAAAACACAAAAGATAGCTGTTCACTTATTTTCAAATGTATTTTTCCCAATCTCATGAATCTAGTTCTTTACCTGAATATTTTAAAAGTAGTTAAAATTATACCAATTTTCAAATCCGGAAAAAAATAATCCTTAGAACTTTCGACCTATTTCACTTACGTTAGTTCCACATAAAATTTTTCAGCAAATCATCTTCACGCATCTTGGCAATTATCTTGAAGATAAAAGCTTTTTCATGAACACGCAACCTGCCTTCCCAAAATCTTTCTCGTGTAAGAGTCAGTTTATGACTTTAACAAACAACTTGCACTCAGGTTTTATTGTAGGTTGGCTTTTTTTCAGATTGTTCTGAAACTTTCAACGAATTTAATTACTAATTACTGTTACATAAACTAAGTGCATAAACAAGTACTCGCTTTGAATCAAGAATTTTGTTCCTGCCGTGTGCAGTATGTTTGTTGGCACCAGTTGGTTCTTCGTGTTGATTCTGTCGTACTCCAAGGGTCAGTCTTTGGTCCTATGGTATTGTTGAATTATATAAGTGACTTTCTTGCTAATATTTTCTCCAAGCTTTTGTATATGATTGTGTAATTTATCGAAAACGAACCAGCGATTCAGATGTGGCATCATTACAAATGGATCTAAATATTGTATCACAGTGGTGCCACATGTGGCACATGGAACTAAGTGTAGCTAAGTGCCAAACATGTGCGTAACCCGACGAAGTGTTGCCCCTCCGTCCTTCTCTGTTAACAATATTCTATTGAAGCATACCGCTTCCTATCGCTACTTTGAAATCCACAATTGTAGTAACCTATCATGGAAACATCACGTTTAATATTAATGGCTAGAGCAAATCACACTTTAGGTTCCTTAAAAAGAAACGTTCACCCTGTCCCACTGTCACTAAAACTTTTGCTTTATGCTACCTACGTCCGTCTTCGGCTACGAAACGCCTTGTTTTAGTGAAATAGCAGGAAGGCAAAACATTCTTTAGAAAGCGCCGACACAGAGGTGAAGACGCCTTTTAAGTACGAGCCCATAACAAAGATCAAGTTTATTCTACAAAATGTGCAACACTCTTGTCGAGAGGAGAAGGGACACTAAGAAACATCCAGAGAAACACAAGTACACCTATAGGTAAAACAGTTTCTTCTGCAACCCGGGACGTGCAACGTTTTCCAGCAACTGAGGTAGATAACACTGCCGATCCCTGCGGCTTTCTATCTTTCTTCAACGGGTGATCGTATAGATCGTAGAGGCACGCCGACGTCAAGGATGCTCTCCTAATTTCCCAGACCACTGATTGGCTCGTTAGAAAAGGCCACTGCTGTTGCTCATCGGAGACGTCTCCTCCCAAGTGGCCCTTTTCCTGCCTTGTCACCGCGGGTTATTTACGGGTCGTTCAATTAACGTTACTCAGCAGCAGTGGTTGGCTTTCATTTTCCGACAAATACAACACGCCTCATCTCTCTGGGACCCGCATAGCTATACAATAATAGAAAGCATTTAGGCAGTGCGAAATTGCTGTGCTCCTTTTATTGCATTAATTATAATTAGAATGCTAGTGAGACAAACATGAAAGCCGCTATTTCCTCTCTAGCAACCCGTAAGAAGCAATCGCGTATTTTTCTTTTTTACAATATGTACTATCATAACCCCACACTTCCTTCCTTGTTCGTAGACACAGGTTCGTTTCGCCATCACTGACATCATCATCATCATTAGGTTGCCATACCATATTTCTCAACTGCTGAGGCCCTAACGCATTTGTTCCCAGGATTGCAGAAGATTAGAACCACTTACCTGTCCTCATAACAGATATAACTGATACAATTGCACTTAAAAGTGTACTATCACGCCTACTATAACATTACACGTTTCTTTCTTTACATTGCGTACAACTACTTTGCTAGAGGCTCTCTAACGTGCTTAACAAAATTTTTTGTCGTCCTGTATAATGCTTTCAATCCACTGTTATGGTTAAGCGTTTTTTTCTATTTTTACTACGTACACCCCGCTCCCTCTTCAAGGTATATTATTCGTTTATATTACCCTGAGGGTATTATAAACAAATAATAAAGAAATAAATAATGTCACTGTTTTGCTGCAAAGGGGAAGCAATGAACGCGGTAGTAATAAAGGGGAAGGTCACGAACAGCATTGGCAAGCAGATCAAAAACGTGTCCGTGTTTCTGCCGCTCAAATAACGCGCAAAATGTACACACAGTTGTCGTTTCGCTGCGTCTCACCTAATCATAGTGTGGCTTTGTGAGGTTAAACCCAACATATCTGTTGCTTCGCTGTGTCTGAAAAGCGCGCTCGTTTCGCAAACGGAGGCTGCGCATTCATTTCAGTGAGCTTTCTGCACCCAGTAACTGCAACAGAATCGTTCCGGTGAAAGTCACATGCCAACCAAGACGTACGATCTTCCCCGCCGCGAGATCAGGGCGCGCGAGCGAGTGGCCACCTTCTTTCTGCGGGACAAAGTACGCATGGGAAATGAGAGCGCGTGCCACCGTGCGCTTATGGCGCCATGTTGCTGGTAATGATGAAAACAAGATGGCCCCCCCCTTCCCCCCGAGATTGCGATCAATGTATCACCAAATGCCAATCAATGTTTCACCACTATATATATCTACCATTTACCAGCGGTAAATGGTAGATATATATAGCTTGCCGTTCGAACTTCAACGACGTACTTCTCCGTGCCTTAGTGGTTACCACCTCGCATTCACGACTCGGAGCCTCCACGTTCGATTCCGCGTACCAGAATCTCTTTCAGAATTTTTTTCTTTCTTGCGTTTCCGTATATATAGATACGTATACATATATTGTGAGTGACGCGACAGTGTCCATATAATTGCTATCGCAATAATAGGCAAATAAATCTAAATAAGTTGCATATGTGCATGCCAGGCCAGCCAACCAGCAAGAAAAAAAGCATGTATGTCGACTATTTATGTAGCGTGGTCTGCATAGAGCCTAACATTGCCCGCATTAGTACACCAGGCAATACGCATGTAATATTTTCGGTAATCATTACCAGAAACATCCCTCGAGGTAGCGTTGGAAAACTGACGTCTGTGGTGCAATTTCTTGAGAGGAATTTTCATTGTTCATGTACGTAAGGCCTTCATGATTCGCATTTGTTTCAGTTGCTGCGGCAGCATGAACTCAATATAATCGTTAGCTCTCGGCGGACTAAAGGACACTTCATAGCCGGACTCGTCGCACTGATAGTGCTGCATGTGCTAAGTACGATCACGAAAACCTTTATTGGTAATATGATCGCATACGTTGATCGCACTGTTGTGGATAGCACCGTTTTCAGCTCAACGCTTCAATCCGTCGACTTGATCATGGCTTAGTGTGCCAGCGCGTGCAAGAGTGACGAAATTAGACGTTGATGGGAGAACGCTCATTTCCTTCGATGATTGCTTACGGAAGTCATTTGACTCTCTCAAGGCTTGCGGCCATCAACAAATATATGACAACGATGACTACAACATTTTTCGGAGACAGCCGAGTAACCGGTGACAGTCTCGCGAACGTATCGCCAAAATTGTGTACTTGCCTGTTGTCGGCTTGTTGGTGCTACACGTGATAAAAGGACATGACTTCAAAGGTTCTCGAAAAATACTTTGTGCTAATGGAGTGTCAGTAAATGCAACAGGAAACTCAATGTTTATTATCAAGTGGACTCACCGAAACGAAAATTTATACGTCGACATTTTCTCTTTTTTACTTGTATTCCCGCTTTTTGGCTCTTGCATTTCTGAGATCTTGCATCATTTACTACAGCTCCTTGAAACGCGTACCAGCGGCGTTACACAGTATTGAGCCAAGCATGAAATTCGTGCCCACAGTGAGTAGTAAGTATAAGAATAAATTATGTGCTACGTATATGTACCTGAGTCTCGGATCCAGCACAGCCTGGCGATGCGTTCCCATCGGGGCAGTGCAACAGGGGTGCCAACCACTGAGCGAAACGTGCCGCACAAAGCAACGCAGATATGACTCGCTCCATACGGGTCCTGCAGATTCGCAAGCCGGAAGCGCAATATCCCAAATTGTCACGTTGGCATTCCTCATGGCTTGCGTAGTCAGCGTCTGGACGGCAATCTTTGAGCCTGGAGCAATTCGTGAGCAACATTAAGAAGCATGCATATCAAATCAATCAGTATGTATTTCCGAGGGAACATCCGCACCTTTGTAGTGGCTCCCTGTCTCGCAGCTGCGGTGCTGTATGATGAGTATAATCAGCAGTTTGGGCACATCTATTTTGCGGGTGTTTGCGCGTTTCCTCGCGAAGTATGATGCTAGTCTTTTCCCGGACAATATCAAGCTCTCACGTGGCTTTGTGATAGAGACTTGTCATGCATCGATAGAAGCCTGGATTTGAGCCCGCATCAAGCCTACTATTGTGCGCCAGAGACAGCCGGGAAACACACCGGCGGTAGCGGTGAGAGACAACAACGCCATGAATGTCGGCTGTTGTCCGCTAATAGCAGCTTCCTCCGGTAAAACCCCTGTAGTGTAGCAAAAGTGAAGTAGAGCGACGGAGTTACAGTTTGAAATGAATGTATGATGGCTTAAGTTTGGATCGTTATAAGATATTAAGAGAAAGCTAAAATACAGGACGTAGGGCTGACGCTCCAGTTTTCTTATAAGGCTTGAGCTGTGAACTGCCGGCCTACAGCACTGCTGCGTCAAATTCCTTAGATTTTGCAATAAAAAGATCTTAGCTAGTTTATTAGCATTCACTCTAAAACAAACAGCGAGCAAGCGTAAACGCAAAAAAATCAAAACTGTGATGTCTTCATTACTTTCTACTAGTTCAGAAAGAGCCTGTATTGTAATTATAGTGTGCGTGGCCTCTCTGCGCTAGGGGAACAGGTTAAAAGTCGAGAGAGTGTGCCACTTGCTGTATTTGTTCGCGCTCACTTCATGGCAAGTACTTAGGCTAGTCTTAAAGTCAGGTTGTGGTGTCTGAAGTGGGACTCAGCAACTTCTAAACCGTAAAATTCTGGGCAAGCGCTCCCAACACCCCCCTCCACCCCCGAAGAACACTATCTAATTCAAATCTCCGTCCCATTCCGGGAAAGCGCCCTGGCCCCTTTCACCGCTCCGCCACAACGCACCCAGGACACTGTACTGCCACATCCACTGGAACAAAAAAAGTTTCCGTAGAGTTTTACAGATATTGTGTTTATTTTTTGTAGTCACGCTGGCTGCCATGATTGCGATTCAATTCATTCCAGTTCTTATTTGTACAGCAGCCCAATTGCGCTGCGCCATTTCTTGCTTCGTGTTTGCGGCGAGTGATCAGCCATGCCGATAAAGTTTCTATACTGTGGCGAATAAAATAAAGGTTATTCGAATGCCTTGAGAAAACGCAAAGAACGTGCACTATACGTCTCGACATGCTAAGTTCGACCAGAAGTGGATGCGCGAATAGCAGAAGAATTTTGATAATTAGGTGCAGCTAAACTACTAGAAGGCTACCTTTGGTGGAAGCTTAGTAGTGACGCACCAGTGTTCACTCAAAATGTGAAGCGTGCGCTCATCGAGTACCTTTAGCATGGAAGAAGTGCAGGACATCCCGTCAGCAAGCGGATTCTTTCTGAAGAGGCCATCAAAATTGCCAACAGCATGTAGCTGAGAAAGTTTGTCGCATCCAGCTATTACGTGAATCGCAGGAAAGAGCGGTTCAGCGTTGCAATGCACCGCACTATGAACAAGAGCCAGAAGACGCCCGAAAAACATTAGGAGGCCACAATTGCCTTGCTGTCTTCCGCGAACTCGCTGCGATGGTGCAACAGTTACACCTTATATAATACGGCCAACATAGATCAGACGATGGTGCGAATAGAACACCCCACTACAGGACAAACAACATGGTCGGCTAAAGCATGCACTATATAGCGGTCGACAACACAGGATGTGCCCGGCGAGGCATCACCGTTTCCCTGGCTGCTCCGCCACCAGCCACAAGCTCACGACCTTATTTATCTTCAGGGAGCAAAGCGGCCAAATTCCAGCCAGGCCATTTGCGAGTCTTGGCATACTAGAAGGGAATAATATATTTTGGTGGGTGCGAAGGGTCACACTGTCACCTAGTTTGTTTTATCACAATGCTGACTTTTCTTCCCAAGCAAATGTTCGTCTCACCACCACGAAAGCCCATCCACGGTAGTCTAGTGGCTAAGGTACTCAGATACTGACCCGCAGGTCGCGGGATCAAATCCCGGCTGTGGCGGCTGCATTTCCGATGGAGGCGGAATTGTTGTACGCCCGTGTACTCAGATTTCGGTGCACGTTAAAGAACCCCAGATGGTCTAAATTTCCACAGCCTCCACTACGGCGTCTCTCATAATCATATGGTGGTTTTGGGACAAAAAACTCCACAAATCAACCAATCAATCAATCTCCACCACGAAAAAGCACCAGGTTTGCGCTGAACGCGCAGCACAGTCAAAGTGAACGCAAGAACAGAGACCTTTCATAACCTTTTTAAACACTCTTTGAATAGCTGCTGCAAGCACAATGAAGGATACTCACTACACCATAATTAATCGTATTTTTTATTAAGCCAGCATTCCCTTGCTATCCTTCCCGAGCAGTCGCTGACAACAATGAATAATTATGCCAGACGTGCGTTTGCGCCACACTTACTCGGTGATCAAGAAGAAATTTTCTTATGGGTTTGAGCACTGGACGAGCCACTCATTACGCAATTTGCATTTTGTAATGCCTGGCTGTTCCAGTAATGTTCTAAAACGCTGTATTACTCATTTACCACGATTTCTTTACCAACATCCAGCCCGCCTAAAACCAGTGTAGAAACGGGTTCCGTGCAATGGCGCAACAAATGCCACTAGTACCACACGCTCCACCACCGTGACCTCCGCTCGCTACCGACTGACTTGTCAGTTCACGCGCAATAACCCTGACGTGTGCCTAACGCACACGTTGAATCATGTCTGTACGTGTCCCCTCTCTCTCACTTCACTTGTTCATCACTCGCACCACTGGAGCGCACATCGATTGGTGACAGTATTTCGGTGCTTTTATCTGCGATATAGATGACGGCAGAACATGAAGCTCCTTTGCCTGGCGAAACATCCGCCAGAGCGATTAGGCCTTACGCGGCCGTCGCTGGTGTTGCGAGGTTTAGCGAAGCCGATCGTGTTGGTGAATGGCGACGTCGCGCCTGCAACACCGACGAGGCGCGAACCAGGGAAGCCACTACTACCCGCCGCGATTAGGGGACTGTGCATCAATGGGGCTATTGCCAAGGTCGACATCGAATATCTCCAGGAACCTCTCTGTGTGCACTTCAAGGATCCCAAGTTCGTGGTAGTCATGGTGAGACGCGCACCAGCCCCGGTCCGACGCTTATATACCTTTTCTGAAGAAACAACAAGACCGACGCCAGCCATCACTTCAAACGCATCTTCCAGCGCTAACTGCAGCAGCCGCGCATGTGTCGTACAACCATTCACGCTACCCGTGCACAAAGCTGCTGCTTTGCATCCCATCGAGGTACTGTTTCGAAGGCGTGACAGCAACACAGTCCCGAAGGCGCCACTGCTCCGAATTCCGCGGCTAGGGTGACCAGTCGTTTGGTAGCATGTGTTACTCAGCTCGTGACTGCTTCTGCGCCGAGCTATTAGACGAGCGGACGAGACGACGGTGAGTTCAGGCAAGATTTATGTACAGCATAGAAATAGAGGTGTTATATATTCGGCACTGGGGCCGACAGCTTAGGGACTCGAAGAGCCGAGATGTCTTCTCTCACACACATCCGTCAGCTTCTCTCTCTGTTTCGAAGAGCGCCGCCGACGAGGTTACGAAGGGCACCACGAAACTCGCCGCTTCCAAGGACACCAGCCGAGCCGACTGCGAAGGGGCTCGAAGCAATGAGAGGCTTCACTGACGCATAGCTCTCTGGCGACGCGCCGCAGGACTGTTTTTAAGGCACCGGGTGGATCCTTTGAGTCACCAAACGTCCAACCAAAAGCGCCCCTGGCCGTGATATCAGAATCTTCCAACGGGGACCCGCCGCTGCGCGTGATTACACCAGAGACGAGGGATGTTGCCACGCATTGCGTGAGACTCGCCAGACTGGAAGGCGCCAATTGCTGCCCGTGGTTGCAGTCAAGGACGAAAACGTTCCCACGAATTGCGTAAGACTCGCCAGATAGGAAGGCACCGATCGCTTCAACAGGCTCCTAGGCTGAGGGAGCTCGCTGTGCGTTGCGTGATGGACCGGCGCGCCGCTTGATGGTGCTGTTAAGCTGGCCTTGACACAGATTGCCTTTGCAGAGGCATTGACGTTGGGCGTGGGACTCCCAGGCGTAACAGCACCACCGCCGCCAGACAATGCGCCGGAAAGACGAGCTGCTTCCACGTGGCTCGGATGTCGGGCGCGCTCGTTTGCCAGGTCCCTCCAGGTTTGCCTCCAAGGCCATGGGGAGAATGCAGCTCCAGACTCCGTTCCTTGAACACATACATTCCTTGAGGACGGATCCCAGCTCCACTAGCTTGTCACCACAACTTGCCGGCCAGCTTCACTCGTCTCTTCTGACGATTTTTGGTCTCAGCACTTGTCGATGGTTCTGCAACTGGTCAAGAACGGTTCGACAACAGACAACACACGACACAAGCAAGTGCCCTCGGTCACCCGACAGAACGCCAGACAAAGTATAGTAAAACGTATACTTAGCTACGTGTCTACCGGAATTTTGTTCTCCCTACATCAAGAGGCACATGTGGGACACAAGATTCTTAAAAAGAGAACTGAAATTTTTTTAACGTACAACAACGTAACGAAATAGAATACAACATAAAGCTGGTCCCTTGAGATCACCCTGGACGAGAGCGCTCAGCTAAGGCCTTGAGGAGGACAAAATTTTGCCCCGAATCGCCAGCGAGAGACCGAAAGGTGGAGAAGGTACTAACTAAAATGCACGGCTCAATGCGCCTGCAATAGCGTTAGCTTTCCTTTTTTGTAGCGAACGTCAGAGTTGTGCTGTTGGAGTATCAAGCTCCACCTAAGTAACCCGCCACCTTTAGGCGACGATACCTATGCGGTACCAAGTACTGCTCATTTGCGACGTTGCACATC